TACATATGGATTTCTTGTAGTACGCTGTTTATGGCTGGAATGAATATGGTTTCTACGACGTGGTTGTAATACTTATAGATACGTGTATTACATGAAAATATTTTCGCGCCCACAAGTAAGTTAGCTTTGAGAAAAGATACAAATTTGTAAATAAATAGAAAAGCGATTGCAACGCCAATTAAGACAAGCTTTGCGAGAATCACATTCAATTGATTATTTTTGTGGAATTTTTTTTATAGGATATAAAATTCTGAATACTATGGGATATACTTCCGTAGAATATAATTTCATATCTCAAGCGCGATATACATTTGAAAAATACGCGCAACGAGTTGCATGAAGGCTGACAGAATTTGAAAGTATTCTAAACGTATAATATAATTATTATTAACTTAATTTACTCTTCAATCCATTTATATGGATATTTCATTTCAGGTTGACTAAATCGAGAGACCTGGAAATTTTGTTTGCTTCCTTCGGCACTCTCTGCCGTCCAAGCGAAGAAATTCCTCATACTGTCACCTCATTCTGCCTCATACTTTCGCCGCGGCTTCCTCGCGGTAGTTTAAATGATCTATTGTGATCACTAAGGGGCGGATTTTGCTGACCTAAAACATCACCAACATATCAATAAAATGCTCTTTGAGTGTTTTAAAGTGCCCTAAAAGCAAAGAAAAATATATCAAAACCAGTTCAGGTGAACAACTCAAGCTGTTGGACATGCTACTCGTGTAATCGTGTAATCGACGCTTCTTCCTTTCGATCAAGTAAACTCAGGTAACAAACTTTTAGTTTGGACCGTTCTTTACTTAGAAATCTGTCTTTAGTTATCCCGAAATCGTCCGACCCGACAATGGCATTGACAGGCGTCAAAGAAAACTAGATTGTATACAACGGCAGACATTACAATTTCTGAGCAAATAAATGTAATAGATAAGTGAGTAATTCTGTGGAGAACATTTGTTGCATCCCGGAAATATTATTTGTAAGAAGTACCATTAAAATTATATTCAAGTGGACGAAATTACCGAAAAATGCTTAAAAATTACAATTTTTGACTTGTTATTGGGCTGAACTTTTTCGCATTGTCTCAATCACATACACCCAACTCATCGGTAACTCTCGTGGGTCAACGGATGGCTCGTAAGTTCAGAATGCCACAGGGGCAGGCGTTGTGTAGGCCTAGATCAGGTCTGCAGGTCTTTGGTGATTTGTGGGATGTTTGCTGTAATGATGTTGAAAAGTAGTGGGCTGATTGGGTCTCCTTTTAGTACTTCATTGGCTTGAACTATTTTCTTTAATAGGGTGACTTCATCATCTATTTGGATGTTGTTATAGTTTCTGATATTAGTTATTATTTATATTAATGGATGATGTCTCCAATCACGTGGCTGGTATTTTTCATCAGTATTACTTGAGCGCTGCGAAGTGGTTATTTAGTCTTCTCTGCCAATTTTTTCCTCATCCTCATCCTTCTTCTTCTTCTTCTTCTTCTTCTTCTTCAATGAAGTGGGCTTTCTTTCGTTTAGAAGCTTTCTGAAACATTTTTTTGATTGATGGAAGGCTTCAAGGGTTATTTTTCGTTTTTCGTAGCATTGTTTATCAAACCAGGGCTGAACCTTCCCCTCCTTTGGATGTATAGCACACACTTGCAGAGTGTGTGAGATTAGTTCTACAGCTGTCCCTAATCCGTTTTGTCCTATTTGATCTATGGCTTCTGTGACTTTGTTCTGATTTTGCTCTAATTTGGTAATGATAATCTTGCGAGAGAGTTTGCGTATTGTTGGTCGGGTTGTTCATTAAATTTCTATAGAGATGTCCAGAATGACGTCACAATGATTGGAAAGTGTTGGCTACCTCTTATGTGCGTAAGCGATTCCTAGATAATTACTCTGTGTTAGGCTGTATTATGCGGTTGCCGAAGTGCGTGTCTTATCACATTTGTCATTTACAACGATTATTTGCTTTCTTTCGGTTTGTATAGGTAATTTCGTCGAAAAATTGGATTTAGAAAAGCACTATTTTATTAACACACACGTGAAGTCGCTTCATTTTCTTTTTGAAAACGTATCAAAGTAAAGATGATCATGGCCTTAGCGATGATGCTAATGTGCTGCTTTATAATAAAATGAAATGTATAAAACATTTGGTTCCACGTGCCGTTTCATCGGTTATGAAAAGTGCCAACGAATTTCTTGTCCTTGTGCTATTAGCATAGAAGTGACTCCTTCCGTATATTTTTATAAAGTGTCGGCTCTAAATATTTATTTTATAAATGTGTATTAATTATTATCATCGAGAGAATTATTAAATACATAAAACTTTAATAATCGTTTGGAAAAAATGTAGAATGTTCATAAGGACAATCCCAAAAATATTCGTACTTTTTCACATAGTGGAAGAACTTTCTAAATTAAGTTAACTTCAATTTAATATAATTTCACTATCAATTTTTGAATGTATTAATTATAATAAATATATGTTTATTTTTTTTAAATTATCACATTTAAAAAAATGATATTTCGTGTGCTGAATTCAAATTTTGAAAGTTGAATTTTAATTATTAAACTCACGCGCTTAAAATAATATTACTTATTATTCATAATGATTTCAATGTTAAGATTTTGTACATATCTTCGTATATATTTTTTTACGTATTCTCAATATCTTTTGCTTGGCAAGTTTTAATGAACAATACAATTGTTGGGACAAGACTTGATATTCTTAGTATCAGAGGAAACAGATATTCTTAGTATCAGAGGAGTTTATAAGGTGACCTACGTAATATTTGGGCCTAGCTTTTTCACAAATAAAGTCTTGAAGAAGATGGCTTAGCTTTCACACAATTTGGAAGATTCACAAAATTTTAGTGGCTCGTACAAGCAGTGTTTGTACAACACGTTGAGGTAATGAAAGTAAATGACAACTTATTTATTGAGAGCTATGTCGTTTAGTTAATTGTTTATATTATTATAAAAATGGGAAATTACGTACGTTTTCACGTGAAACATCTGAGAATGACAGGAAAATGTTAAGATTGTGAATTGCGAAGATGGGCGGAACCTACAACCTCCTATGGACTGTAACCATCTAACTTGTACAGAGAAGGGTGAAGAATACCTGGAACGGGGAGGGGGGCGCTAGCAGACTGAAAGGTCCTTCTCTATCCAAAGTATTTTTACACCGCATCGGGCCGTGAGTTGTTCGTTGTTACGTCTGTTAATTATCACCGTGAAGGTGACGTGAACTTTGTCGCACAACACGTCCATGGGCACACGGTGTTGCCGAATACCTGTTGCTGGGTGGCTGTGGCATGCGTGGACCTCAGAGCTGCTCCTCTCCCGGACGAAGTGGGAAAGCAGGCGTCCCACACAGTTCGCTGGTCGGAGAGTTTGTCCAGCAGTTTGGCCACGGACCTGGCCGTAAGTGGGCCCTGACAGTAGGAGTATATGTTTGCGGCACATACAGTCTCTCGCCAGCAGGTGACTGGCGGTGTGAGTCGGGTCTGTCCGTACCGCTCTGTAGTACCCGCCAATGGCAGGTTTACAAGTATTCGTGCCGAAGGCAGTGGGTTTACGTGCGCGAAGCGCAAAACATGAACGTTGCTTGTGAACGCGGAGACTGCTCAGCGAATGGTCCTAGGTCGGCGGTGTGGCCTGTGCCTCTTGTGGATGTTCTCGCCCGTCACTCCTGGCACAAGTGAAGGTGGCGTTGCAAGTGAGAAGGCTGCAGCCCTTCGAGAAAGCGGGGGAGCCGCCGTTCGGGGGAGGGACCGGCGGTGCGGGTGCACCCTGCGGTAGCGGCCGCCTCCGGAGGGAGGGAGGGAGCGACCACCTGCCTTTGCGCGAGGGCTTTATGTTGTGGACGGAACACTTGTCTTGCTTTAAAGCAGAAATCTACTTTTGTCCTTTGTTCCGAGGGTGCTTAAGTTTTACATTCCTGATTTTTGGGAACAGTAGGGTACCTGAAACAGCTTATGCTGTCCCCTTTAGCCATATCCACTATCGGACACAACTTGGAAATCGTGAAAATTTGAGAGAAAAGAACTTCTCTCTGCGAGAAAGTGTACTTAAACAAAACAAAAACCTTTTTAAACAATTACAGGCAGAGGGAAACTTACAACGAAGAATGATCATGAGTTTTTAAAAGAAAATCGACTCTTATGTCGTGTTTTATCCATAAGCACACGGCTTGTAGCAGACTGCAGCTAGCCATCCAGAGGCGACGGTGCTGCCCTTTGCCCGAACTACTAAAAGTCACCTGTTCTGGTCATCTCTATTGCCGTTGTGAGCGATTCTTTAGACATCGTGATTCAGTACTGAGCAATTGAACGACATAACGCCAAATATTGTTCACGTGATATACCTAAGAAATCTAGACGAAAAGTCTGTTTTCGAATATAATTGGGGAGTGAGTAGTTTTGAAAAATGACGTTCGTCTGCATTATGTCGCCAATTAAACAAACGTCTTAAAATTTAATTTATAGACCGGGGAATCACTTCGGTCTTGATACCCTGACCGACTCGTTAAAGAACGGAATATCAGAGACTATGCAGAATATCTTGATCTGCGAGATCTTTGTCTTATCGATCGACCCGCGCTATGAATACTGGGTGTTTGAAATGAAGAGCGGTCTTCGGGTTCTGATGAAAAAAAGTATGTGCGGTTTATGTGATAAATAATTGGATAATGTTTAGAATTGTTTACAGTGGTTGTAATGTGGGACGAAATTGTATTGCTTACTTCTAGAAACTATTGCAGATAATATTGAGAATCCTTTAATTTTAGACATCAGTGTTCTTAGAATCATCAGGTGGTTGGTGTGACAACCTGCAACAAGTGGTTTTGCAGTGCGAAGCGGTGGTAGATATTGAGTTACTGTTGTTTAGGATTTGAATTATTTACCCTTTGTTACAATTCATTTATTTCGTCTTTTTAATTACAAATATTGTAGGTATGTTGACGTTTGGGGGAGAAAAAATTTGAACAAACGAGTGAAAATGTCAGTAGTTACGATTCAAGTAGGACAGTGTGGTAATCAAGTTGGCTATGATTGGTATACTAGATTGGGTAGAGAGGTATGTTCTGAAGCTCTTGAAAAACACATGCATAAAAAACATTCATACATAAGAGAGTCTTTTGAAAGATGGTTTAACAGTGTTGATGATGAACAACGGATCTTTGCACGTGCTGTTCTTATTGACACTGAGCAGAAAGTGATTAATAGTGTTTTTAAAAAAGCTTCAAGACAAATGTGGCAATATAACCCTGCAAGTGTGGTGTGTCGCAAGGATGGAGGTTCTGGGAATAATTGGGCTTTAGGTTTCTGTGAAAGAGGACCAGAAATGCAAGAGGCCGTCCTAAACTCTGTCAGAAAAGAGGTGGAAGCTTGTGATAGATTGTGCACTTTCCATAACTTACTTAGTTGTGCTGGTGGAACTGGTTCAGGATTGGGAAGTCGCATCATAGCTGATCTTAGAGATGAATATCAATCTAAATTTAATATAAATTCTCTTGTCTTTCCATATAACGGTGGGGAAATTATTACTCAGAATTATAATTTAATATTTACTTTGTCTGAAATATATGATGTTTCAGATGTGAATATTGTTTTTCAGAATGATGATTTACATAAAACCTGTACCAATTTGTATGGAAATTCAAATGTTGATTTACATGATTTAAATTCTTTAATATCAGTGAAATTATTGTCTTGCCTACAGCCTGTGTACAGCAGGTCAAGGAATTATTTACCTTCTCTAATTTCTGCCATGTCTCCTCATCCATGTTATAAACTAGTTTCAGTGAAGAGTGCCCCTCATACAATTCCAGAAAACCCCATACAAGATACAAGTGTAAGCTGGAATGCATTGTTAAAATATATGATGCGTTCTTTGTACTTATACGCTCCTAAAGGAGATGTATATGATTTGAAATCCAGAGATACAAAATATACTTCTGTTTGCCCAAAGTATTTAAAGAGTATTGCAAATGTTCTTATTACTCGAGGTGGGAAAAATATTCCTTCTACTAATATGAAAGATTTTTGTAATAAGGATCTTTATCCTGATTGGATACCTGTTGCGTCAGGTTTTCAACATTTCCATCAGGAAGAAACGTTATTGGACTATAACAAGTTTGTATCTTTAATAAGTAATAATTCTTCTGTTTATGAATGTTTAAATATTGTTGTTGAGAAAGCTTGGACTCAATTTGCTCAGAAAGCATATTTACATCAGTTCACCAAACACGGGCTGGAAGAGAATGACATTGCTGAAGCTTTTGTGAAGATTGAGAATATTTTAACAAACTACAAACATTTAAGTGCAATGTGAAGTACAATGAAATATACAACAAAAATAGTTTGTATATTTGCCATGTTCATATTTAGACAGAATTAGGTGCGCCTTATGTTTAGATTTTCAGAAATTTGTAATATCCTTGTATGTATGTATGTTTTGAACTTTAAATTATAAAGTTTTGTAATTGTTTTATTATTTTTTCAGTTACCTTGAAACTTTGGTCTTCACTTTCATTTGGAAGAGAATTAAAAGTATTAATTCTGTGCTTTTCTCAGGATAGGGGGATTCTTACATTTTTATAATTTCCAGTACAGTACTTAATAGTTCAGTATCAATGTGACCAGGCACCTAAATTTTGAGAATACATTTTGGTGTTACAATTTCTGTTTGTGTTAAATAATGGAATTTACATAGTTGTAATTTACAGTGAGTTGCTGTGACATATTAACTTCCAGGATTTTATTGTAGAGCAAGGGAATCAATTAAGGGCCCTTCTTATGGAGGTTCATGTATTTGATAGAAATAATGTTGATTTTACCTTCTTGTCCAAATTCAATCGATGGAAGAGGTTTTTGGAATAACAGATATACATCTGTTATTTAACTTACCTATTTTTGTATCTACACTGCACTCCAACAAAATCTATGATTTCTATGTCTACTTCCAAAAACACTAAAGGATTTTAAGGAAAGTAATTGCACAGGCAACAATAATGAAAAATATTCAGGATATTTTGAACACTAATGACAATAGAGAAATATCATAAAACTAGAAACATATCTTGAAACTTTGTTGAGAATGTTCTTTTTAAAGCAAGATGACAAAATGGTGTGGTTCTGAGAAGTTATGATTTATTTCGCTTTGGGATTAAATCAAGGATTCTCAATCTTTTTCTTTCATCAACCTTTTTAAGAGGTTTACTTCATTGACCCCATTACATTTTCTCTATAATGTGCAGCATTCAAAATCGTGTCATGGAATTGCACATAAATGTCTTGAAGAAAAGTTTCATACCAAAATATCCTTGTAACTCTCTCGATTTTAATTATCAAAGCCCTTCCCAGTTTTGAGTAGCTGAATTTCTGATCTTCATTGCAACGGTTACAAAATACTGAGATTTTTAAGAACTGCCCTTAACCTATAAACAGTGCATATTTCAGAGTTTTTTTCTTCCACAATACAATATCTTTGTCAATGCAGTTATAATTTCCAGAGTTTTCCAAAAACCCTAATTCTGAAATTCCTAAGGATGAAAGATGAATGCAAAAAAAAGAGCGAATTTGTAATTTCTAACTATACATTTTGTTGATTTATATCGCTAAACAGTTATTAATGATTTTTGCAATCAATGGGATCTTGATTATGCTGATGAGGTGCCAGTCAACTTAATTCAAGTCAAATAATTTCAGTGAAATAATTTTCCAATAGGTGTATTAAATCCAGTGATAAAGTAACATCACTAAGAAAAGAAAAAAGGATTGTTTCTAGAAATTCATGGAAGTCCGCAGCCTTCGGGAACCCCCCTAGCAGCCGCTGAACAATGATGTGGCAGCAGCATATGTTGAGAAAGGAACAAACTAACAAACAAGTAGTGGTCACAGAGAACTCTAGTGTTCATGATAAATTTCATATACCTAACAAAGATTTTGATTTTCGAAAAAAGTGAAGACTTACTTCTTCCTAAAAATAGTTTTCATTCACCCATGGAAAAGTCTCCTTTTTTTGTTTTCTGACAAAAGACAAATTGGACAGTAATTTGAATTTCATTTCTAAAAAGTGGCTTAATTTTTGCTCTTTTAAAAATATCTGGAAACATTCCTGTGCATAACAAAGCAGTGAATATGCGAGTTAACAGATTATAATGGCAGATCACAAGTTTTTAATAAACAATACAGAAATTCTTCAATGAATATTCATTTTTTAGTGTACTGACCATTCTGAGGATTTCATTGGAAGAACTTTCCACAAGAATCATGCCAAAAGATTATTACACAACACATGATGTCGAATTTGGAGGCTAAGGATCCCCCAAAGGGGTCAGTAGATTCTCAGGGGTCAATGATGATCAAGAAGTTGACTGGGAGTCAATAGCACCTCATCTTTTTGTAGAATTCATGATATTGCCCATTGAGGGATATCTTCCTATCATAAACATTGATTGCAGAATAAAAATGCTGTACTGCCATGAAAAAATATTATTTTTTTATCTTTCCAGATGTTTGCGAATTGAGCATGGGGTCTCACAAGGTTCGATCTTAGACCCTATTTGTTTTCTTTTATACATAAATTATATGTTGTCATTCATTAGAAATGGTAGTACAGTTCTCTTTGTACAGTTCTCTTTGTTGATGACAAATATTCTTGGCAAAAAAGCGACAACAAGTAGTATGATTTCAGATGTTTCAAATTGGTTTCATAGCAATAAATTAATATTAAATGAAGGAAAAATGGTCTCAATGCAGTTTTGCATTTCAAATGCAATCACATGTGCAACTGGAAAAGAAGAATGTGAAGTTAGCTGATGATGAGGTAACTAAATTTCTGGTTTAGTCAATTCAGTCAAACCTCAATTAAAATATCCATGTAAATGTACAGTAAGTTAAGTTAATTAAATTATGCAATCAGAATTCTTTCTGATTGTCGGCTTTCATGTTGCTTGTTGCATGTATTTTGTGAAGGTACGTTTCCATGTGACATACGGCTTAATATTCATGGGAAACACATCGTACAGTACCCAGACTTTTAGAGTGCAAAAAAATTGTTTGAATAATAAGCAAATTCTATGATTTCTGAAAGCCTCTCTTCATTAAATTGGAATGTTACCATTTCCGTGCCTACATGCTTACAAATCTGACTGACTTATGTGTGGGAACATATTTTCATGCAATACTGATATTTATAATTACAATGCATTGCAGGAATTATATTCATTAGGTGTCAGTATCCACACCTACAAGAAACCCATATGTAATACATATATTTATGTCTTGTTTCCTTTCTATTTTAAACAATTGAAATCGGTACACAAGAAGTGCAAAGGAACATGGTTTCTATTGCATAACTGTTTCTACATAATTGAGGACTATATTGAGCATCAAAATGGGAAATATGTATTTTATCAATGTTATATCAGTTAACAAGTGTACTTTATAACTAAAATACTAAAAAGGCATCTATTATAAGTGCTTGTTTTCTTGAGCCCTGGTATATCTACCCCTACTTCTTTGTCAACATTAGTTGAATTAAGAATAAATAATAGCAACGGGCATTGAAGACTAAATCTGATAACCAGAAATGTTCTCTTCCGTGTAATAGAAACTATTTTGCATTGATAAACGAACAAATCTATTTGATATAAAATTTATTTTGTGAAAATAACTGAACTCCCCACTCCTCTCGCAACTAGTGAAGCGAGGGCTGAAGAAAGTGTGTGCGGATAATACCAGCTTTTGAGTCAATGACCTATTTCAATCACGATTTTTAATCTGGTTCTCTTTGATCCATTGAGCAAATGTGGAGATGGCCCTTTGTTTTTGTTCTGGGCTTAAATGTATCTTTACAATTTTTTTGTTGTGCTTTCATTTTGCTAGTTGTGCTAGGAGTAGAGTCAGGGATGTAGGTTGTTATAGTTTTCAGCAATACTTGTAAAATCAAGACTGTAGCTCGTTTACTGAGAGAAATAATTGCTTTATTACTTGGGAAAAGGTGAAATTGTCTAAATTTTAAATATTGGTAACCATGCTTTGTTGGTACTTTTATTCATTGATCAATTATGTGGTAAGGGCTTCTGGAGACCAGGAAAATGTGTGCAGATTATACTCCTTTCCCATTCATGTACAGCTTTTACTGTCTTTTGATGAAAAAATTCAAAATAAATCAAATCAAACGATTTTTCAGTGATAGAGTTCTTAATATAATTATTAAGATATTCTATTTGTGCTGATAATCACACATATCTTCAAGTTCGAAATGTATACTGTTTTTCGCAGGACTGTCGTAAACTGATAAATATTCAAATAGAAAATTTGTAAATGATATTTTTTCAGCGCAAAAAATATTTCTCTCTTTCAGTCACCTTTATAAGTACTTTATAGCCTTGTGTCAGAAATGCACAACCCAAGACTATCTTTCGATGCTGCTACACATTTGTTGTTGGGGGAGTGGCATGCATGGTGCCAATAAATAATAAAGGTAATAAAACTCATGTATATAATTTACTTCTACCTTGATTTTTCAATATTGGATTGTTGTAAATGCTTCCTTCAACTCGTAATTTGAAACAACTTTAATGCAAATAGCATTGTATCAGCAGCAAAGTAATTTCCTGATATCACTGTCAATTGCTCTCGTCAGCACAAATGCATCCTTTTTATCAATAGAAATATCAGTGAAATTACCTGAGATAAATAGTAAAGAAAGTGAAGGACTACTATAATTAGATCTTTTTGCTCGGGTTTGGATATGAGAGGGAGTTTCTTTAGTACAGAGGAGAATGTTATATGACTTTAAAAGCTCTTTTTTCACCCCAAACTTCCTGACTTTGCAATAAAGCCTTTTCCCTCTCCAAGATAACTTTATTCCCTTTCGTATCAATATTTTTCGTTTGTTTTAACTCTTCCAAACTGTGTTCACTTACACAATATCTTTCATTCTACTCCATTGAGCAATAAATTATTATTATTTACAATAAAAATGTCCTTTAAATACAATGTCCTTAAAATAAAATAATTATTTACGATAAAAATAACCTTGTACATTTTGTGTAACCTGTTAAAACTCATTCTTTTTGCATGTCT